AGGGTTAGTATCCAATGGAAATTCCTAAATTAAGGCCACTTGCTCGATATTTCCAGATGCAGCCTCTCGGGTTTTGATTTTCTTCTTGACGGCCTACCTTAACACGAACTACAGTTTCCTGCTTACGAAAAGTTGGGAATGAAAGAGTCCTCAGAGCAAACTGGTGACAAAACAGCTAATTATCTTTCTAGGCCATATATACATACAATTATACAGACAGACATGCAGACATATATATAAATATATACATATATATATAAAGGAGAGTTAAAATCACATAAATGACCCTTAGGCAAAAAAAAAGCTCCTGAGTTCAGAACTGCTATCCTTGAAACTCCCAACCATTTGATGCCTAATCTTAGGAAAAGGGAGCATTGACTTTTCTTTTATACAGCATAGTAGCATATACAGCTGTTGTATGCAAAATATTTTAGCAATTCTTGAAACAAAGACTGGAACCTCCATGTTCCAAGGTCATGTAAGTGCCTCAGCTACAGAATTATGCCTGCATTCTCTTTTCCTTTCACTGAAGGAAAGGATGGAGTATGTACCCAGTTTGATGTGAAGGTCAGTGTTTAAGAATGGGTGTTTGGCTTCACCCAGGATGCAGACAGAGTTGAATCCAGGTCTTAGACTTCCAAGTCCACAATAAGTGGTCCAATAAGAAAGCATTGCAACTATATAAAAATAGAGGTATCTCTGCCCCCACCCACTATGTGTCCAACCTCCTGCCCTAATAAAATCAACAAAAAAGCATGATCCTTGATTATTTTGTCATAGGGAAAAAAAAAAGTTATCATCATCTTCACAAGAGGCTTTAGGGCTACATACCCGGAGTAAAATATTCTAGTCAGAGAAGAGACCACTATTTAAGCCCCCCACTTATCCCAAATTTTTCCTATAGATGACACATCCATATAGCATGAGGGTTGTTTTTTATGTACTTACAAGCTATATAGGAACTAAGTCTCACACAATGTTCTGGATGCCACACTAGAGGTCAGGGAATTAAAAAATATTTTTAGTCTCTTTGAATGTTAAAAGATGCTCGTGGGGAAAAAAGCCCTCAAGCCTAGCCTCGAATTTAAAATAACGGGCTCTGAGCTGACTACTACCACTCAGGAGTAAGACCTTTGAATTATGGCAGATAATTCCATGACAACACCAGCTCAACACTCAATTGCAGTCACAAAAGCAGATCTTATGTTAGGGATTATTAGGAAAGGATCAGAGAGCAAAACAGAGAAAATCATTATATCACTGAGTAAATGCAAGGCTCATCTAAACTGTGAATACTATATGTAGATCTGGTTCCCTCATCTCAGAAAGGATACAGCAGAACTGGAAGAGTAAAGAAGAGCAAAAAGAATGATTAAAAATATGGAACAGTTTCTGTGCAAAGATCAACTGAAGATCACTCTTCAGTCTGGAAGGGAGGTAATGCAGGGGGCACATGATGCCCCCTGCAAAACCATGAGTGGCACCAACAGGATGAGCAAGGGTTGATTGATCTCTGTCTCTCCCAGTACAAGGGTACTGAGGTAATAAATGAAGCTGATAGGAAGCAGGTTCAAAACAAACAGAAGGGGGCTGTAGTTCTTCACACAGCAGGAAATAAATCTGTGGAACTCTGCCCAAGGGTATTGTACCTTTAAGGACCTGGCATGGATTTAAGGGGAGACCTGATAAAGTACTTGACAAAGAGGTAAGTTGGAGGTTACTATATTAACAAACTACAACATGCTCAGGCTTGAGATGAAAATAGCTGCAGTCTGAGGCAGCAGTGGGAGGAATATTGTACACGCTTATCCTGTTCTTACTTTTCCCTAGACATCTACTTGGGGGCGGTATGAGAAATAAGATTCTGTGTTGAACGGATGCCTCGTCTGAATCACTATAGTCATTTTTATTTTCTTATATTCTCTCTATCTTGTGTCAGATGGAAAAACAGTCTATGTCAATCCAAAGCAAGAGAAACTGTAAATATTCAATCTTCCTATCAAGTATGACTCAGTCAGTGCTCATGAATGACTGACAGGTGACAGGAGAAATTTCTCCTAGTACAGTCCTGCCTGCTTTTTACCACTTGGTAATTAATTCCTTAGAGAAAATATTAATGGAAAGAAAATATCTTTCTTATTCCGAGGGAGGACTGGAGAGAGGAGTATCGAATGCAGTAAAAAAAAAAAATTAGAAAGCATACCCAACCTCCAAAACGCAATCTCCATGCGGAGAAGGGGCATTGTCCTCTGAAGGTATCTGAGGAGAAGGAACTCAGATTCAGCTACTGTAGCACTTCCTTGAGTGTTAATTAACTTTAAAAATGGAGAGAGGGGGAGGGAGAAGAGGTGAAAGGAGGCAATAAGAAACTTTTTTCTGTCCCACAGAGTCACCTAAACTAAACAGAAATGGATTCTTAAAACTACCCTAATCAATTTGAGTGACATAAAAAATTCTCTTAAAAGCTCTGAAAAAACAATGTCTACTCATCAGACTACTAAGAAATTGCTGAAGGTGGCTGCTGAAATCCTTATATGTATCCTTTGTCTTGCCCAAAGACAAATAGGAAAGTGCAAAGATTTTTTCTAAAATTTTCTAAAATAGCCAGAGATGATTCAAGATATATTAAGAATTAAAATGGAACTAATCCTGCAAGCTTTTACTACCTTGCTCAGAAATAGGTTTTCTTCACCTCTACAGTGAGGTCGCTGGCTGTCAGTCTTCTCTGGAGAAATATTTAATGACTTCATGCTCTTTAGATTCATCAGCTCCTCAAGGCTGAGACTATAGCTTTCATTCATCTGAAAAACACAATGCACACCTGCAGTATTACAGTATTTTCCAGTTAACAAAAGCTATTATTTAGCAGCTAGTAAAATAAAACATCTTTCCTCTTATGCAGCTCTTAAATATTTTAACATAGGTGTCTATTTGCCTGATGCATCATTAACACGTTCTCTGAAGTCCTTCCTCCCCAAAAAATATACTACCTTGTTACTGTTGTTTTTATATTCAGATAGACCTTTTAAAATGTTGCTAACAAGTGTGTAGAATATATTGGGCAAGAGAAAATTATTTTGTGTTTTGAGAGAAAATAAGCCCTTCCCTTATACTTCTTATGCTCACTGTTGACATTAAACCTCCAAAAAAAGATCAAAATAGTTATGACTTCAGGAGCTACATCAAAACCTGGGGGACGATCCAGGAGCATTTCTGAGATCCATCTCAGGAAAAGATCAAGCATGTGTTGGCTCCCACCTGACCCAGAGAAAGCTTTGGACACATGGGCTGGACAACAGCCATCATTTGCTCTGATCAGGCTCGTGATCCCAGGGCTATAAGGACGGGAAGGGAAATAGGTCCCCAGAGGAGGTTGCATGTCAATGGGCACCCAGCAAATGCCCAGTTGATACCTGGGCAGAAGCAACTACCGTCTAGCAGGATGAACGCTGAGGAGGAAAATAGGAACAGGAAGAATAAAAAAAGACCTCTTGGGAGTGCTGTAACACTCAAAGAGTCTTGAACAGAGAAAAGTTAGCAGACACAGTGTAATTTCTTCTTACTATTTCTGTGAGGTACCATAGTAAGTAATATTTCAGATAATATCGTCTAGGCGCAGTGTATAAAGAACTATAAACATCTTTCCTTTAGTTTCCCTGGTCTTGCAGTAAATAGACTTTATCTGTGAAAAATAAAAGAAAATATACTTTGGGCTTGGTCATTAAGCTAAAAAAAACTATACAAAAATCAGAGTGTTTAGGCTATACATATCTCAAGTTCTTTCATGATTTTTACTCAGTCTTCACAAAAGTGAATTTTACTTGCTATCAGTTTACTAATACCAGCAGCACTTAGCTGTTAAATAGTGTGTTTTATCAGCAGATCTCATTATTTCTTACAGGAAGGCACAAAAAGACAAAAATAGAACATCCTACCTGAGGGAAGGTAAACTTAAACTTGAATCTGGGTTTCCTGAGTCTATCGCACCTTCCTGAGTTTTTTATCGCACTGCTTCCCACATAACCAATTGAGCGTAACCAAGCAGAATGCGCTGGCTTGTTTTATATTCAGCATAGTGACTGTTGATAAGTGACTGTTATAGCCAAAATTTCTGCTACCGTCACTTCCCATTTGCAGGGTTTGCTGTCTCGCAGTGCCTGCGGCCCTGTGCATGCTATCTTCTCCACGAAATGCTGACAGAGATAGCTGAGGTTCCCCTAACCCAGGCAACACAGATGGCAGCAGGTTAAAAAGGCAAACGGTACAAGGTTTGCACAGAAGTTTTCTGCTGATTCTATTGCAAGAGGACACAGGTGGCTCTGTCATTTATTGCCCCATGCTTTGGGCCCAGTCACTTGATTTCCACCGCAGATTCTCCATTCGAAAACCAGGAATAACTGCACTCGCCCCCTGCTACACGTGGGAACTCACTGGATGTTGGGCGGCGATACAGTGGTATGCACGAATGAGCGGCTGCTGCTAGCGGTGTCGTGCCATCCTGGCTCCCATCAGGTGACACTTTTAAGATGAGCCACACCCTTTATAATGAAACATCAATAAGTGTGTGATATAGAATATATATTATGTAATACATAATAATAATAATGTCATGTGTAATAACAGTATGTAACGTGTAATAGCATGGAATAACAATGATATGTAACGTATATTGAATGCAGTCTGCTAACAGCGAAGCACCAGCAGCTGACAGCCCTGAAGGCAGGAGCACGGCTCTGTGCTGGCGCGGGGGTGCTCTGTGCTCCGCAGCCGGGGTCTC